CACCCGTTTATAGGGTGGACCCATTCTTACATCCATTCATTCATCCACAAATCGTAATTTTGACCTGAACTAGAAAACGATCAATCTCCAATTCAAACCCCAGAGATATTAATTTGTTATGGGAATATGGAGGAGCTCGAAAGATTCAACGTGCATCAGTCACCATTTACTACACAGGGAGTCTTCTACCGGCTGCGCTCGAACCCACGAACTCTGGGACTTGGGCCCAGCGCCCTACCGACCAGGCAATCCCGGTCTTGAATTGTAATAATTACTTATTTTGAATTTCAATATAAAACCTCTCCCAAACCACCGTAAATATGAGTTTGAAACATTTTCGCATATTAGACTGCTGAAATTAACTACATTAAAATTATTTCTATACCTATCATGAAATAAGATTAGGAAACAAATCCCAATGCTGTACTACTACGTGCTGTAGTAGTCCGAATGCTGTAGTAGTACGTGCTGTACTACTTTCTCACGCAGCTCTCAAGCCATAACTTGAGTACCTTATAACATATATATCTACGCTATTGCTCGAAACAATTTTGCACCATTATGCACCATTGCACAGTATGCACCATTTATGCTTAAAATTTTAACACCCATTTTGAAAAGTATAAAAAATAATTCTAAATTAATGCTTCGAAATTAAGTTTTTACTATTCTATAAAAATGCAAAATTTTTCAAATTAACTATTTAACGTTTAACTAACTATTCACTGCTACTTTAACTATACTTTAAGACTCTCTAACACAATTAATTTGAATATAATACTCAAGGTACAGCAAACTATTTAACACTCCTTAATTATTTAAAATAATGTAGCAAAATCTAAACAAATAGTTAATGTATAACTAATTATTTAATGCTACTTTATAATTATTTAAATTATTGACTAAATTATTACTTAACAACCTAACAAACATATAACTCCTTCTTTAACACTATTTGAACAATTACTTAAGACAGCATAAAAAAATTAATTATTATAGACAACTACAGTGTTGCCAATTTAAATAAACAAATATCTACGTTTTTGGTGCCACATAATAGAAATAAATATCTAGATTAGTTTCTGTTATTATTTTTATAAAATATTTACAAAATAATTTAGACATGACTTGATGAAAAAACAATTACGGTGAAAATGAAACACACAAATCAAGAATTTATTTAAGTTGCAAATAAAAAGGGTTCAAAAATGTTTGTGGATAAACTAATTCTTACAAAAACAAAATTCTTCGAGAACATTTCCGCAAAAAAGAAAAAAATTTAAACTGTGCGAACTCACTTGTTATTAATCTCGTTTGAAACTATTTTTTTCCCTAATATACTTCCAAGACTTAACTCCAATTATTTGATTGAATTTCTGACCATATCTACCAAAGTATGCTTTTAAAACGAAAAGAAAACGTATGAAAAAAAAAACATTTTGAAAAATGTTTCCCTATAAATTAATAAGTTAAGAAAAGTTATAAAATTAATTTGAATAAATATTTTTCCTTCACTAACTTGAGTATTATTGTTAAATAATATTCACTTATAAATGTTTGAAATTTCCATTAATAATCAGTATTAAAACTCACCATATCTTTGTTTAGTTTGTTATTATTCTTAAATTTCAAGCTAAATTTAGTTAAATCGGTACACAAATTATTAAGTAGGACTAACCATATGAAAATTATCGTATGTTAGATTATGTAAGATTAACCTATCCTACTATTCTAAATTATCCTATAGTGTAGAAGCAAGTAAACAGTGTACAATATTTTACAATTAGTAAATATTATAAATTTATAAATAATTGCTTTTTAATTTGTAAACTAATTAATTCTAAACAGCTGCGATTGGAACTGCGTAATTACTAAGTAACTTTAATTTCAATGTATGAATGGACTATATCTTAGTAAATAAGCTATTTTAAAAGAAAAGTGGGTGAATTTATTTATTATTTGTAAATAATGTAAATTTGTAGAAATAACGTGCAACATTTTATAATCAATAAATTAATAATTCTGCTACAAGGAAGTTCTAGCGATATTATTTAAAATCATATTAATCACAATATATAATCATAATAATATATAATCATAATAGAATATAATCATGATATCATAAATCATTTATAAACTCAGCCTTTTATTTCTAGTTCTTTCAATTGCTTCGGTATCAATTTTGTTTTTAAAAACAAACAAATTATTGCATAAAAATTGCAAATTATCATGTTAAAAATTCTTAAATTTTACTTTTCTTACACAGATTTTGTTTCCAAATCAGAATTCTGTTATTCGGTAAGAAATTTAACCGGCATTATTTAGTTAGGTTACCATTGCAACTTCACCAATGAATATGTTTTTCATTTTCCTCCTCTATTTTTCCTTATATTCTAAACAGTTTCCGTAAAATAAACGGTTTTAAACTGGCTGCTAGATCAATTGTGCGTAACTGTAAGAAAACGGTAACGTATTATTTTATAAATAGTTTTATTTGGAAAAATGGAGCGCCTTTAACCGTAGAACAGTTTCAATATTAAGAAATAAAAAATTAGCATGAACTGGGAGGAAGACGAATTACTTCCGGCTACGAGTCCGACATTTTAAAAATTTGGACACAAATGAACAACAATCATACTCAATTTTTTTCTTTATTTAATGACCTTGAACATCAATTAATTAATTTATTAATATTAAATGAACACGAACTTCAATAAACCAATTAATTGATAATTAATAAATTCAAATTTCAATAAACAACCGATCAATATTAAATAAACTGCAACTTCAATAAACAATCAATCAATATTAAATAAAATGGAAATTCAATAAACAAATCAATCAATAATAAATAAACTCAAACTTCAATATGATAAATAGATTTTGCTTGAAAATATCGTTAATTAAGAAATAAATAACTAAGTCACACTTGGAAAATACATTTATATCTTACACTAATTTACGCTGATGACAATGGGAGACCTGCCAGTGACGTAGTCTGGGTAACTCGATCCTGATTGGTTGTTGAAACGTGGCATTTGTTTTCGTTAGGAACTATTCTTTCCATTCTATTTCGAGTAAGTCAAGCCCATCAGATATCAATTTTCTGAATTGGCACACATAATATCCTTTCGCAAAGATTCCTTTAAAAGGATTTCAATTCTTTCACTTCATGTGTCTAACTTAACACAAAACCGGCAAGCAGCCAAGTAGAACATAAACTAATTATGCATCGAAGTGGGCAGGTACACAAAACAAAAATATATCACTGTTACATTAAAATAAGTAAACAAGTAATAAATCTAAGTTAAGTAAAAATGTAGACGAGAAAGGATTATATTTTAACATATTCCATGAGCGATACAGAGCTGTGTTTAAATAACTTTACTTTTATTAATATTTTAACTTATGTGGAGAAATTTAACCCAACTTTAACACGCCATTTTTTTTTCTTCTCCAAACGATCAGTTGGGAGTCGTGATGGCTCAGGCGATAGATCCCTTCCAATGAGTTCTCTTTCCAATGAGGTGAACCAGATTCAAATCCCAGCTATGGCATGTCGATACGAATTCCACATCCCGCTTACACAGTGCTAAAGTGAAAAATATCCTCAGTGATAGGCTTTTTATTGGTTAGAATCCGCTTGCCTCCATGGTAACTTTGGGTGGGTTTTGTTGTTTTTCTCTCCATGTAACGCAAATGCGAGTTATTTGATCTGAAATGTCTTCCACAAAGGCATATTTCTCCCATTGCTTGATCCAGGAGTTCCCTTGTCTTCTGGATTGGGTTCAGAATTGCAAGGCTACGGAGTGGAACATTAGTAGTCGTAAACCTAAATTTGAGTCAGCTGTTCAACGATGGTTATAAGTAAATATAAATATAAATTATTGGCTGGCACTGACGTCATAGTTCCCATCTGTGGGTTCATATGATCTTCTTCTTGAAGTGCAAGTACTCAATTTAGAAAGTCTTGACTTTCTCTGTTTATTAAGGATCAAAATCACGCGATTTACCGGCAACCGAAAGAAACGACATAAGATTTTTATGTTCCTATGTTACTATGTTAAATTGAGTGTTATGTTTATCAGTAAGTAAATAAATTGTTGCTGCATATTTCAAGGAAGATTTGAATTTTATATTTTTAAATCGTTTTAGAAAAACAATTCTTATTCCTCAAAAATACCAAAGTAACTAACAAATGATTCGAAATCATTTTGAGTTCTTAAACACTGAACAGGACGTTATGTAAATAAAGTTACATTTATTTCTGTTATAAATGATGTTATTCTGTTATAACCAGGGCCGGATTAACCTATAGGCACACTAGGCACGTGCCTGGAACCTACGAAATTCAGGGGCCTACGAAAAACTATAATTTGTTGTTGACTATAATTTATGATCCTGAAAAATATATATAAAAAACATTGGTCAATTGCTAAAATGACTCCTTTGAAAAAACGTGACTAACATTTTATTAAAATAGTATTAAATCATTTTTTTCTATTAGTAAACATTTAACCTACATTGCAAATTTATTTATAAATAATTTCAAAAGATTTACTTTTGACAATGTTAATTTCCTTCACTTAGTTATCATAGTAGTATCATGAAAACTATGAAGCTATTTGTAGTATAAATATTTCTTGTAATTAATCTCACTATCAATTTCACTGTTTTCTTTGCTGGTTTGTTGTTGTATTGTTGACGTGAAGTGTTTACATAGTTATCGATCGAACTAATCATAATGGTATTATCGATATCAACTGCAATATCGGCAGTATGTCGGTATTGCAGATAAAGTTCGATAAACAAATTTGTAAATTAAAATCCATATTAATAAAAATGTAAAAAAAAAAATGCAAGAAAATTTTAGCATATATTTTGAAAAGAGGGGAGGAGTGGGGGAAGGAGGGGAGGGCCCAAAAACGGCTATGCCTAGGGCCCACGAAAGGTATAATCCAGTTCTGTGCCTAGGGCCTACGAAAGGTATAATCCGGCTCTGGCTATAAATGATATTTTTATAAATGACACAACTAATATTGGACGTAGAAGAAATTTCCTGCGAAAGGATTGTCAATGTTATGTTTTCTGATGTATTCATCTAAACTGAAGTTAGTTTTCTTGTCTTGCAACATTTCGCTAGATTCCAGTTCTGATTGTCTGTATACCAGCAAGATGTATCGGTGTGGATCTGCAAAGTAATATTTAATTAGTGTAATCCAGGGGTCTACAAAAGTTTTTGGCGTAACTACCTCTACAATTATTAAATTTCAATTCACTAGTATATAATATATGCTAACTCAATTCAATCACGAGGCATCTTTTGATAGATAAAGGTTGACATTATCAATAACTTGTCTCTCCTACACTGAAAATCTGCGGACGTGATCTGAACACGCCTACCTCGTAAGTAACACCTATTTCGACTAGGACACGCCTACTGCGATGGATGGTACACATCGAAATGTTGACTTCAATATGTCCTCCTCGTGGTGTTGTTTCTCAGTCTCATTTACACACAACGGGATTCTTCATACACTGGACTGCTAATAGCAATCAGCACAGGAGATATACATAACCGAGAACTTAATGCAGCTCTCACGACAAATGGCAAAACTCGGTGAACTTAATACAGCTCTCCCGGTCTTTAGCAACTAAGACAACTCGTGATATTGTGGCGTAACTACCACTATTTCTTTTCTTTTTCTTTCTATGATTGTGCCTTGATTTAGGTGATTCAGAATTTATTAAATGCCTTTACCTTGTTTAAATGCTAAGCTTTAGGATATTACAAACTAAAATTGTAAATGTTAATATTGTCATAAACTACAAATATTTTGATTTATATTGTTAATTTAATGTTAAAAAATATTAAATGTTAAGACATTTTATCTGTTTGAATTCCTTTTTCGATGATACGGACCAGATTTACATTATTGAGAACTAATTGAACGAACTCTAAAGACAAAACTTTAAAATATTATAAATGGTAATAGTATTACTTACTGCAAATATTTTGAATTATTGTTAACTTAATGATAAAAAAATTAAATGTTAAAACATATTGTCACTTTCTTCTTCTTTCCATGATTCCGAACAGATTTACATGATCCAGAGCTAATTTTCCACTTTTTAGGATATAAGAATACAATTGTAAATGGTAACAGTCTTACTTATTGAAAATATTTTGATTTATAGTTACTGTTTAAGAAATATCAAATATTAAGACATTTTATCGCTTTGAAAACTTCCTCTTGTTTTTATAGTATGAGTATATTTATTTGTTCAGAACTTACTTGATCCTTTAGGTGGCATAGGGTTTACATATTCTGAGATAACATCTCCGTCTTGAACCCTGTTTCCTGGAATGTTTACAATTACCCAGTGTCGAAAATTGGCCAGTGTTGGATTTTCTGGGTTAGGAATATCTGGATCTGAGGGTGATAGAAATATAGATGCAACTTAATCACAATTCATTTCTGACAGAAGTGTAGTCTATGTTCATATTGAAAACAAAACATATTTATTTGAAGAAAAATAAAATAGCATAACATTTAAAAATGGCGTCTTTAGTTTAAAAATGTCTTATTTTCAAAAGTTATAAAAATTAATTACATTAGTTTTTTTCCTGCAAAAAATTAATTAATATTTACATTTTAAATTAAACGTATTATTTAGTTGAAATCTTATAAGCTATTACCAGATTGAACTTTATTCGCTTAAAAAAATATATATAAGCCGCTCAAAAAATTCTCCCATTTTCAAGACTGTCAGACGTGAATGAGAAAAAACAGAATTATTTTCGTTTCTTCTCATTCACATCTGGCAGGTCTTGAAAATGGGCACCTGTTTTTGAGAGCTGGAGACATGGTGACAGTTAAAAAGAATTTTAGGAATTAATAAGTTTTTCAGATTTGAAAGTAGATAAATTTAAGAATATCTCTTGATTTGTTATTGTAAGGTAACAATTTTTTATTACGTTATTATGTAAGGTAACAATTTTTTATAATTTATTATACATATTTACTCCAATCTTCAAAAATGTCGCTTTAAACATTCATTCCTTCTGTATATCAAATATTTTATTTTAGTTTATATCATGAAATTATTTGTTTCGATATCTAAGTGTCTCATAATATTAAGTTTTGTTACAAATTTTTCACAAATAGAATTTTTGTAAAATACAATAAGTGGAGCTTTAGTAAGTTACAGTAAAAAAAGCTATACCAAATCGCAAAAAAAGGAGCTTAGCTAAAATTTAATAAATGAAGAATTATTAAACTATTTAAAATGGAGATATATTATTAAATTTCAACAAAAAGACTAAATAAAGAATTTTAAAAAATGAAGTTTTAGTTAAGCATTATAAATAAAGATATATTGATTTACAGTAAAAAGAAGCTGTACCAAACTACAAATAATGGAGCTTCCTCTAAATTTTAACAAATGAAGTTTTAATTAATCATTTTAAAAGGAGATATATTAAATTGCAATAAAAAGAAACTATACAAAACTACAAAGAAAAGAGCTCCACTAATGACAACAACAAAAACTTTCAACAAATGAAGTTTTAATTAGTCATTTTAAATGGAGATATATTAAATTGCAATTAAAAGAAGCTATACAAAACTACAAAGAAAAGAGCCCCACTAATGACAACAACAAAAACTTTCAACAAAAAAAGTTTTATTTAGTCAGTTTAAATGGAGATAGATTAAATTGCAATAGAAAGAAGCTATACAAAACTACAAAAAATTAGACACCGCTAAATGTTAACAAATGAAGTTTTATTGAAACATCACAAGTGGGGACATACTGAATTACAATAAAAAGAAGCTGTACCAAATTACAATAAATGATGATGTTTTGAATTGAACTAAAATTGAAAATAAGGAACTTAATTGACCAAGGAACTTAGAAGCTAAAAGAACTTAAATTAAAATGATAATTGGTATTTGAATAACTTTATAGTTGGAGATAAGACTTACCAATCATAATTAATGTATTAAGTGAGTTGTCCTCTGCTTCGAAACTTAGCATTGGTGAATTCACAGTAAGAGGTTTTGGAGTTTCTTCTCCACAACTAATTTCATGGCCATCGAAATTTATCTGTTAAAGTACAGAAAAAAAATCTAGTATTTAATTACAAAATAAACAGTTTATAATTCTAGAATTATTAACTGAATGTTTAATTTTTTATTCCCACTCACTTAATGCAAAATGCGCAAAAAATAAATAATAAGTAGCCCTGGACAAACAAAATTGGTCGAATAGTTCCTGAGAAAGAGGATATTAAAAATACGACTTCGTTGAAATTTGATTTCTCAGGAATAATTCGACCAATTTCTTTTGAATTTTGTATTTTGCCATTTTAAATTTCCTTTTTAAAAATGATGCATTTAAATGATGTATACTTTACAATATAAATCCTTTTTGACTATTAAATAAACTAATAAAAAAGTAATAATTTTAAACAATAAAATTATTATAATTTTTTTTTCTTGCTTGAAATTATCTTTAGGACAAACGAATTTTATAATTGTGAGAAAAAATTCCTCAATTTGTCTAAAAATGTTCTCGAACTACGCTGAAATGCGCAAAAAGTAAAATTAACACTAAGGGGTCCAAACTTTGTATTGCAAATTAGTATTGACGATGATACTGTTGTCTATAACCATGTAGGGTATGAAAAAATACATTAAAATGATACATATTTTTCTTATTTTTGAACTAACTTGATTTTTTTTCTCTCTGAATCAGATTAGATGCAGACCTCAAATATAGTCTTTTTTAAAACAGAATTTTATATTTACTCCAGAACCGTTTGCCTTTAAGGGTAGATTTTTTTTCGCTTCGGTCTTTTGCTTGCTTTTTTTTTTCATTTTAAAGCAAACAGTGAGTAAAATTTTCATATGACAATATTTTGTTTAAAAAATATCCGCAATGATCAAGATTTTCACATGTGCTTTTTTATGTTTTAAAAATTATAGGGTAAGTTTTATTTTATAATCAGCATTAAACTGGCGACCCAATTCTTAGTTTACAACTATCAATGTTCCACTGGGTAGTCTCGTAATTTTGAACCGAACCCAGTTGACTACGAAATTCTTAAATCAAGCATAGGGACAAGCTAATCTTCATGGAGGACTTCTTGATGGAATTAAAAATAATAGGTTGATACGAAAAAGAGTTTTTTGCGAATATTCTCTCCAAATAAGAATTGATGCAGTTCTCAAATATTGTGCTCTGATAAACCAAAATGCAGCTATGCACTAAAAAGCTACAAGTTCTTAAGGTTAGATTTCTTTTATTTGTCCTTACTCTTTTTTTTTAATTTCATACAGTAATAAGTAAAATAATTTTTTTTGTTTTTAGAAAAAGAGAGAAAAGAAATAAAATATTCAAAGTTGTTCACAGGTAAATTTCTCTTTAAAAACCGATAAGGTCAAATAAATAAAAATAAATATATGATAAATAAACGGGATTATTAATAGTTCAATCTTAAATAAACTAGCGTATATACTAACACTGATAGTCAGGTTAATGAGTCTTTTGTTAGAATGAACATATTTAGCATTTATTAGGAGGCGTTTATTAATACAATTTGAGACCAATCGACAGCATTTTAAAAAATCAAATTTTTCTGAATTAAAAATAAGACATACAATTTGGGGAAAAACATCTAGTATTTGAAAAGTAAACAGACTAGCAGACTTTATCTGTTTTTCATAAAATAAAAAAAAAGCTGTAAAGTAATTAAATATACCCGTAATAATTCTTCTGATAATTTGAAGAATATTTTGCGTCACAATGTCAGAACTGTAATATCTTTAAAAGCAATTATTATTTGAATGAAATAAACACAGAAAGAAAAATATAATTGTTAAAGACTAATTTAAAAAATTTCATTTAAAACTATCACTAAAATAAAATGAAAACTCTAAAATTATTAACTATAGTCGTAATTTTTCTGGAACTAGAGATATAATTTGTGGAACAATGCATGAAATAAGCTATCTTTTCGCTTAGCTTAAATATTGTGTGTTTTTTAACTTTTAATATATTGCGTCGTGAAATAAAATAAACAAAAACTATAAAAACACAATCCTGAAATAATTCTTCAAGAGCAAAATTAATAATTTCCGTCTCAATATCAAGATGTTAATATCTTTCAATACAATTATTATTTGAAAGAAAAAACAACACCCAGGAAGCTAAATATAATAGTTAAATAATAACTTAAAATCTCATGCAAAATTATCGTGGTAATAGTTTATAAGTTTAAAATCTAATCGAGCCATGAAAATAATAAACAAAACCTATAATGTTATTAGCTATACCTGTAATAATTCTTCTAAAATTACGTATATAATTTGAAGAATAAAGCCAGAAGTTATTTTTTAATACAATTATTTAAACAAATAATATATGGAAAGCAAAATATAAGAATTTAAGAATAACTTCAAATTATCATTTTAAATTCTAGTAACCTTCATTCATAATTTTAAAGTGTAACTGTGTCATAAAATTTAAAATAAACTATAAAAATATTAAATATACCTGCAGTAATTGTTCTGGAGCTTGATCAATAATTTGAGGCACAATGTCAGAGCTGTAATATTTCTTAATGCAATTATTATTGGAATAAACAATGCACGGAAAGTAAAGAATAAGAATTAAAGAATAACTTAAAAGCATCATTTTAAATGATCGTGGTGCTCGTTCATAAGCTTGAAACCCAATTTTGTTGTTAAGATCACGAGAATTTTTTAAGACACATTGTGCGTCTAAGAAACTCCCACTATGTATTATTGCAGCTGTTAAAATATACTAGTAATTATATTGACGTTTTTATTAACAATACACTAAGACTTTCTTATTTTCACGTTTTATAACAAAAATTTAGAAGCAGCTTTGTAAATATTCAGAACTGATTATTGCATTTTTCGCTATAAAAACAGGTTATATAAGAAAAAATGGGGATATTTTCTGAAAATGCTGAATACTGTTTTGATACTTTTAAACTTTTCTTCTGTGTTTATTCACCATTTTTGTCTGTCCTTTTCCCGGAAGCCTATTTTGAATATCGTATAACTAAAGAATTACTAGCTCTACGGTTCTAAAATTTGGTTATCCAGTACAAGGAGCAATTTTAGCCCCCGATCCAAAAAGTAGTTTAAAAATTTTAATTATTCTATTGTTGTTGTTTTTAATGCCACTTCTCAGCAAGCCTTCTTGGTGAAATCAAACGAATTTAAGGCAGAAGGTGCGTTTCTTGATTTTCAGTGGTGCCATCTAAGGTCAAGAATACGACTTCAGCCGTTTATAGGGCGGACCCATTCATACAACCATCCTTTAATCCAAAAATCGTAATTTTGACCTGAACCAGAGAACAATCAATCTCCAATTCAGAACTCATAGAGGTATAATTTTTTATGGGAACATGGTAAAAATAAAATAAACTAAGGGCTTTGTTATCTGACAGATTTACCATTTACTACATAGAGAGTCTTTGGTCGACGTGGATTGAACTCATAACTCCTTGGACATGGGCCAACACCCTACCAATCAGGCAACCTCAGCCTTTAATTATTCCGTTCGGGAGAAAAGTTTGGAAAATGATTATTTTCGCATTAGTTAGTAACATTCTATTGTCATAAATAAAATTGCAAATATTAATGTTTAGGATTTTAGTGCATTTTTTTTAATGTTTATTTATATTTTAAAGTTTTGTTATTAATGTTAATGGCATGTGGATGGGTGTTACGTCACCGAATTAGGATCACGTGGTTATTTTGTTTATAGTTGTGCATTTAAGACGTGTTCTCTGAAAAAAAAATATGGTATATATTTTTCGACAGCTTAAGGACTAAGACGAAAAATTATAAAATTAAATGCTTTAAAATTGTTTTTAAAAAATAGAAATTTTTCTATGGGTCTGCATGAAAAAACAATAAATAAAAATTTGCGTGTAACGTATGGAAAGTAATAAATAAAAAAATGCGTGTAACTTTAAAAAATCGAGAAATCACGAAAACTATTCAAGTTGATTTTACTTGTGCTCACCTCACATAAGGAACAAAAGATAAATAATTTTTAGAAAACGTGCTATAAGCACCTGATGAAACTAATTTTTTATTAATTAGAGCTAAGAATCATCTGCTATTTAAATTGCTATTATGCGTTATTTTTATCTCATATGAAAATTATTTTTTCGCTCATCCCGGTCGAATTGTTCATAGTCGAACGTTCTTATGTGAACATTGACCTTTCCCGTGCTTTTAACTATCAGTATGCCAAATTGTATCACTCTTGATCTGATTGCTTAGGAGACAATAAAGACAGACAGACATTCATTTTAATACCGACTTTTAAAAATTCGTATAATTTTTTTACTGACATCTGATTATTTATTGCCGATATTTCGTGATTTTTTTTATTCATGTTTTTAAAAAAAAAAATTTTCAATTGTGAGTTTTTCTGATATTTGATACATTTTTAAGAATGGATACCATACTTTCTGAAAACAATCATAGACATATAGAAATATATAAGAGAAAAAAAAAACATTGAATTAAAATTCGGCATTTCTAATTGGTCTAGCTGAATTAATAAAATCATAGATGGCGCCAATATCGTCACTCATAAGACTATGTTTTAAAAAGGATTTTTAATGTAGCAGTTTTTTTTTCAGGTCTTTAAACAAATAAACTTGTGGGAACATTTATTTCACATTGTAAAAAACTACTTAGAAAAATTGAAAAAAAAAGACTACATTAACAAACAAATGCGTGTTCCATGCTATCGCTGATAAACTTTAATAGCAATTAATTCTTCACAAAAAAAATATGAAAAACTCAAAGCGAAAAACAAATATATCTGTAAGGCTTATTAAAATATTCCAATGTCCTAAAAACACAAGGAAAAATGAGTAATAGTTTTTTTTAACAGTTATTATTCACGGCATTATCTAATTATTTCTACTCAGAATAAGTTATGAATTTGTTTAATTCGATACTTCGTTTTTTTTCTAATCTATTGTATTTAATTCTTTATTATGCTATTTATTTTCAGCTATATTTACGTTATTTCTTTTTTTTTTCTTTATCTTTTTAATTTTAGTTTTTTTGGGTTTATGATTATTTTTACTTATTTTTTTCATTCTGTGCTTATTTATATCTTCTCCACCATTTATTTTGTATCTTTATTTCCTGTTTTTATTTTCTTGATACCATCATATAGAAAATTCTCATTATTAAAGACGTACATTTAGGAAACGCATAAGATGAATGCTCAAACGCAGAGGCAACCAATAGATAAACCACTTCCAAAGTCTTTATTTCTTGTTTTTTTCTGAAAAAAATATTTAATTCTTATATTAAAAACGTGCATGTTAGTTAAAATTTGAATTTCAGTTTTTTAGTTAAATGAGGTGACGTAGTACGGGGCAAGAAACTCATATTTTAAACCATTTCATAATAAGCGTATCTTAATTATAAGATTAAACTGATCGTTTTAAAAATAAAATAGTTAAGCAAATATATAATACCTAACTATACGCTTCGAATCTGTAGTTAAAATCGGTAATAATCATTAAAATATCGTTGGAAAGGCAATAAAATTACAAACTGTTTTTGTTTCAGGATTTTATAGACGTACCAACATATTACAGCTATGCTATTTTTTAACAAACAAGCCTTATATCAAGATAATACAAATGTTTTTTTAAGCATTTTTTGTAGAATGATGATGACCACATATTTCACTGAAACTTTTCTCAGAGACATGTAATTAAAATGAGAGATTAAATCCACCTCTTATCAGAGACTTGCAGAAGGAATTATTTTCATTCTTTAGAATTAAACTGTAGATAGTAGTCTCTCCTTATTCAAAGTCTGAAAACAAAAGCATTATTTCAGAAAGCAAAAGCTACATTTCTTAAAGTATAAGTATTGTAAGAAAGTTCTAAAGGTCGTTTATTAAGCTTTTGAAATCCGGATAAGAAGGGAACAAAAATATATAGAATTCATGAGGTAAACTTATTCCGGTATTAAAGGACATAGTATGCGTAGGCGTTACAAATAAATGGGATGTTACAAATGTTAAACAGATATATTCGTTAAAGTTTGATTTATCAGAACCTATTAGATCGATTTCGCTCACATTTTGTATTTTGCTTTGTAAAATTGCATTTTTTAAAATGATGCAAAAATTTTTATGTCCTACAAATCAAAATTTTTTCGACAATTATTAAGCAAAATAGAAAAATAATAATTCTCGAAAGAAGTTGATGAAATATGGTAAATGCGCAATGAATGGGTGATGATGAAATGAATTAATGAATGATGAAATATGGTAAATGCAACTTGAAATATCATCTGCACTATTTAATCAGCAAATTTGAGGTCACCTTCTCGAACCTTCATGATGTAATCCTAGTACGTGAAGCTCCGATAATTAGATAAAAAATTATTCAGGGTGTTTTTCTTTTTTAACGTTAGCATATCTCAGAGGAAATTTGACTGATAAATAAAGAAGTATTCAAGATGTGCACTCTATTTCCATGTATAGTTCACATTAACGCTTCTCCTTCATATATTATAAAATTTATTATTAAGATCTTAAGTACACACTTTATTTTGAACTTTAATATGAAATATTTTCTTATGCATAGTGATTGTAGAAAACCTTATTTTAATAAGCTGGACTAGGATAATAAAAGTTACAATATTTCCGAAATTCAGATTTATATTATCGAATTCAATTTTTTTATTGGCAGGCAGACTCTTGTCTACTTCAAAAAATTTTTTTTGTTGTGCGCCATATAATATAAGCAAATCAACTATTTAATGTTGACCATCCATCGATTTTGACGAGATCTTATCACGTCCACAGACCACCATTGAGGGGAATTACATATGTCGATTTTGTAAACCTTCATCCATTAAAAACTACTTCACATTGGAATCAAGTTAACAGGTCTTATATACTAGTGAATTGGTATTTAATATTAATAGTGGTAGTTACGCCACAAACTTATTAAAATTTTTAAAAAAGTGCAAAATTCAGTGCAATGTTTAAGAAAACACCACACTGTTAGAAATTTCTCGGAAAAAATGGTAAAATAACAATTTATTGAATGACTATTTTGACATATTTAATCAAAACAGTCAAATTATCATAAATAAAATGGTAATCAAACTTTCAAGTTTGGGAAAAACTGTTTATTAACTGCTTTTACCTAATACGGTTAAACAACCAGAATTTTATCGCACCAACTAGAACCACCTAATGAATCTTTTTAACTGCGTACATATCATAGCCGAGCGGGCTTATCTGTCAATCTCATGACCCAAAGAACTGGAGTTCGAATCCTAGTGTTGACACCACAGTATTTCCTCCATTACCTTCAACACATGAAGAATATCCAGTGTCCGGCACTCTCCACTGCCCATTACCTTACGAAAAGCCGAACTTGTATGTCTAGTTAAATAAATTTTTTTATTTTTATGTTTTTGAAAAATGCTAGTTGTACATTTTTAAAAAACATTATAGTTTTGTATTCATGGTTTTATAACCATACTATTTGTAAATGGTTTCAAAACCATAAAAGATTAAAATGTTCTTTACCGTAAACTTTACGGTTAATCGGATGGACAGACAGCTGCCAGTTATTTTACCATAATTGCAGAATGTAAATTTTAACAGTGTATATTGCTCCTCCAAATTTGCAAGAGGCTGTTTATCAGAAGAAAAAATATTGTTGATACTCCCTAAATACTTTGTGGCCTGTAATATATTGAT